GAACTTAGTCTCACAAGGACAAATACTGTCTAAAACCATTCTTGTAGAACAAGTATGAGGATCCAAGGGGCGGGGGAAGGGTTGAAGCAGAGGGATGAGGATGGGCAGGGGGGTGAGGTGTTAATCATAGGGTTACACAATTCTGTGGGTGGAGGGGAATGAAGGAAATGGGAAGGATCTTGTGCGAAAAACAATGTATTGAAACTTTCTAAATAAATCAGTATATTAAAAACACAACTTGCAAAAAAACAAAAAATATCTTGATTGGGGAAGGTTCCTCTGGATGTCCAAAGAGAAGGAAAGATATTCTGGATGGATGGATGGAATGGCATGGGCAAATGTATGGTGTGAGGATGGGGAGTCTGTGCCAGGCTAAACATCAGGAAAATGGTGTCTTAGAATGGGTTCTCCCAAAGTCACAAAACCAAAGTGCCTTTTACCTAAACTCATGCTCATTGCTGAGCGTCAGAACTCACTCACAGCTGATCCTCCAGTGGGTTTTCAGAGGCTGTAAATTACATGGGAGGAGATTGTCCACTTTTCTCCTTTGGAGAAGCTATCTCATCCAGGGTCTTCTCCTGAGCTGTCCCTCTACCTTTCCAAGCAAGATGTCATTCTCCAAGGACTGGTCCCTCCTGGCCTTGAGCCTAAAGTCTGTGAGATGGAGCTTCAAAATCTTTGCCTCCAAAGAGAAACTTGGTTTCACCCTTCCTAAGACAGATCTATTTGTTCTCCTGGTGGTTCATAGTGTGTTCAATACTCTTCTCCAGTACCACAACTCAAATGCATTGATTCTTCTGTCATCCTTGGCCATCATCCAGCTCTCTGATGCATAACAAGTAATTGTGAAGATCATGGCCTGCGTCAGGTGTACCCTAGTCTCTAGACTGACATCGTTGCTTCTCAGTATTCTAGAGAGGTCCCTGATGGCAGATTTTCCCGATGCAATTCATCTTTTGGTTTCTTGACTGCTGGTGTCAAGAGGGTTAATTGTGGAGCCAAGCAAGTGGAAATTATTAATAACCTCAATCTCTTCTACTATCATGGTGCTGCCAATTGGCCCAGTGGTGAGAATATTTGACCATAGTCCTTAACTTCCTGCAGAAAGCACTTCAGATCCTCCTCAGCTTCAGAAAAAAAAATTATATGTATATATGTACACACACACACACACACACACACACACACACACACACACACACACGCTGAGTCTCAGAGCTGTGGGTCAGACCTCCGGAGAGAGGTGTCTATGGAAGCTATGGAGTCAAAAGTCAACCAATTGATGAGTTGCTTTCCTCTACGAGCCTTCATTTCTTATGCCTTTCTACTATGAGCTTTGATTTCCTTATCTTCCAGCGGGCACCGTTATGGTTCTCCTTAGACAATGTGTTGTGAGGACTGAAGGAAACACTGTGTGCAAATAGGTATTTTCCCACCATGGTGGGCTATCATATGCCTATTTCCCACCTTGTGGTCCTGTCTTTGCCACAGTCTAGGCAAAGGTGAGACTCAGGGTGAGCTAAGACCTGGGGAGTAGATAAGGAAAATGGGTGAAGAGCAGTTCCAGGGTCCTTGGAATCACCAGACAGGTGGCTACAGAATTTCTAGGCCGACAGTGGGAGCAGAGTGACCCCTGGATCTGGTGGTTGTGGGTGCTCTCAGTGTCACCTCTCACCAGGGAGCCTCTTGGCCCTTAGAGACCCTGCCTGTCCCAGTCACTGTGTTCATACTCTTGAGCCCAATAAGCCCAGGGTTCTTCTGCTGCCCCATGAAGCCTCTCCTGGTCTTGCAGGTGGATGGAGGAAAGAGCTAGATGATCGCCCAATCCCCAGGGCTGCCCAGACTAGAGCAAGTGTTTACTAAATATTTGTCGAATGTGTGAACAGAGGAGTCAGGGGTTCTGTCATTGCCACAAGCTGGCTCTGTGACCCCAGGCCAATTTCTTGCCCTCTCTGTGCCTCAGTGACCCATTTGTAAAACCTAGAGGCATGGCTAACCCTTCCAATTTCCAGGATTCTTATCTCTGCCCCTCCAGTTACAGTGCCCCCAGCCCCAGGCTTGAAAAAGCAAACACAGCAGGCCATCATTCAAGATGCAGAAAGGGTGTTTTTATTGCTAGAGTGGGGAAATAATAGGTGGAGAAGCTGCTGACTGCTGGTCGACTGTGAACAGAAGGGTGTCTCTGGCTGGGCTCAGCTCTTACTCCGGTTGGACGGTGGCAGCACCTTCCCCGATGGGAACTAGATCAAGTCATTGGGAGGTGAATCTGGAATGAAGCCACAGGGTGGGTGTTAAGACCTTGATATCCACAACTGTCCTGATAGGCACCTACCACTTATTAGGTACTCAGTGGGATCCAAGTCAGGCCTAGCTCTTTCCCACAATCCCCTGCATGGCTAAAAGTCTTAAGAACTGGTGTCTATGGCTCAGAGTCTTTCTCTGGCACCCAGCACTGATGCTAATTCCCCTTAGCCTCCCTAAGAACAAAGGTTATTGTGCAAAAAATTGATCACAGGCCAAGACTTGAGGTAGTAGTATCAGGGTTCCATGTAAGGCCAGAATTAAGGTTCAGTATATAGTCAAAATCATGGACCAGTTTGACATTATGAGGCTTAGTCAGGGATCAGGATTGGGGTTTGTTCTGTGACCAAGGCCAGGGCTCAGTCAGTTATTGGTGTCAGAGCTCAATTTGTGGCTAGGATCTGAGCTCAGTCTGTGATTAGGATCAAGGCTCAGTCCAAGTACTAGATTAAGATGTAAGGTTTAAAGCGTGTCCAGGATCAGGGCTCAGTCTGTGGTGATGAAGATCAGGGCTCAGAGGAAGAAGAGGGGGTAGTTCCCATTCCTCCCCACCCCAGGCCCCTGTTGAGGGACTCATCCTCCTTGAGCGTGGAACCACAGCTTGGCTCTCACCAGCAGGTGGACGTTGCAGCAGTCTTCCTCACAGGTCTTCTTTACAAGGGGATAGTCACTTGGACTCCACTCTGAAGTTTAGCTGAAGGAACAAAATCAATTGCTATTTTATTCTCTACTTGGCAGAAAATTGAGTAGCGGGTAGACCCCATTGGCTACCAGGACCGAGCGCGTCAGTCTCATAGCTGTGATACTTGAGCACGTAGTTTTACTTCTCTACATCTCAATTTCTTTTGATTCACACATCAGCTTCATGACGTTAATAGTGTCATTTTACCCAGACGGAAACCAAGGCTCAGAGAAGTGGAGCCATTTGCGCAACACCCCGCATGACTGAAGAAATGAGCTAAGATTTAGACCTAGATGTTCTTTCTCTCATCACTCTGCTTAGAAGGTCCTACCAGTTTAACAAGAGATGTCAGTGACAATCTCTCCCAGGCACATAGAACTCCTTCAGGTCCTGGACCACCTTCACCCACCACCCCAGTCATACTCCCCCAGGTTACTTAGGAGAGTTGGGCCCCCCAGGGTCCTCAGGGTTCTCAGGCTGCTTTCCCATTGGACCAGACAGGCCTCTGTGGGGCAGGCACAGACCTGCCTGCCCTTCCTGGAAAGGCTGGTAGAGAGGAAGCCCCTCCCCATCTCCCTCTTCTGCCCCCTACCCTCTACCCCAACCCCACCAGGATCCCAGACCAACTCACTCATCATGTCCTGAACAACATTCACATTCAGGGTGCTGGTGATCATTTGCATCACTGGGCACACCTGATGAGGAGAACAGAGGATTAGGAGGAGGGACAGAGCAGGAAGAAGGGCAGGTTGTCCTCAGATCACACTGCCTTTCGCTCAGAGAAACCTTAGAAACCTTGAAGTTAAGGGCCTACAGGGGCAAACACCTAGAAATATAAAAACTGAGAACTCCAGGATACGAGAATCCTAAAACCTTTATCCTTAGTATTCTAGAACCCTGAAGAATCAGAAAACTAGAGTGTTCACATTCCCTAACTGTATTCTCTTGGAAATATTGACTTTTTTTTTGGATCAATTGTCACCAAACTGATAAAATGGAAGCTAGCCTGGGAGGCAAACCCTCAGCAATGCCTCTCTGAACTTTGTTGTTATGTTGTTGACTCAGAACCGACTCATAGCTGTCCCTTCAGCAGGTTGTAAGAGGCTGTAAATGACAGGGGAGGAGATTGTTCAGCTTTCTCCCGAAGAGGGGCTACAGGATTTGAACCACCTGCTTTTGGGTTGGCAATACAACTCCTTGAATTTTAAAGAGTTGAAAGGAGCAATGGAGTCCATGGAGCAGTATTTCTGCATTTCTATAACGCCCCCAAGTGAGACCAATACTGCTGGTCTAAAGGACACACTTTGAGTAGCTAAGTTCCAACTCAATCGAACAGGCCCACCTAGAAGATTTTTTTTAAGCCCCTGATTCCTGAGCCCATTTCTCAAGAGTCAAAGACTGTCTAGAACACTGGGCTTAGGGATCCTGGAGAAGAGCTAGGCAATTTTGGCCAACGAATACATAGGTGGCAGAAACAACTTTGTTGCATTTGTGTTTAGTCTACTTGTTAATTATGTGAGAAGAGATGTTAGCTTTCTATTTGTGGTAGGGATTTAAAATTTCCTTCTTAAATCACAGTATTTCATGTCCTTGATAAATAAGGGAGAAGAGTGGACAAATGAAAAACTAGGTAATTTGGGTGAAGGGGAAGACAATATCAAGCAAGAGTTTGGTTAGACATTGTCATCAGCTATGCTCATCCATCTCAGTAAGTTTGTCTATGAACAGTAGAATGAAATTGAAATATGTTTGGTAAACTTTCACTCAAGTAAAATGGAAAATATTTTAAAAGGAAGATAAAAACCAGTGTCTTTGAACTTCAGTAAAATTGTGTCAATTAAAGGGAGATAATAAGTTAAAGGGCATATTGGCTCTACATGGATAGGACAAATAGCTTGAGTTTGAGACCCAAGGTTTCAGTTAATGACAAGTCTCTGCCCTCCCTACTCTCAGCATAGCAGAACAGGCTCTGCTGTCCACCAGAAGAGAAGCTTGCATCTGGAAGAAATGCCCACGGTTACCCCCAGCCAGGACTTACTAGTTGCTGCACCATGGTGGACATAAGTTTGTCCATGGTTTTGGTGAGGTGATCAACAAGATTGTTGACAAGTGAGATTTCCCTGGAAAAGAGGCAACCAATAAAGCTCATCAGGAAGTGGGGTAGGAAGGATGCCTACTTTCCCTTCTGGCCACTGGCCCAGGTCAGCCTTCCTCCCACCGCCTTCCCTGAGCCAAATCGACTCTTTCACACACACAGTTTAAGATGTAGATCTTGTGGATTAACAGGGATCAATGACTCAAATGGCAAGATTAAGTTTTCAAGATTCAGAAATGTTCCAGGATGGGAGGAAAATTGGAGGACAATCTGAAATTAGAACCCACAGTAGGTATTTACTCTTCTCTCCTCCCTTCAACAGGAGGCAAGAAAGTAAATAGGATGAATAATAATTCTTATTGCTCTCTCAGAAGATGTAGTAATTGTAAATGTGTATGCACCTAACAACAAAACTTCAGAACACATAATGTTAAACCCCAATAAAGCTGCAAGGTGAAATTGGCTAGAGAACAAATTATAGTCAGAAATATTGACATTCTTTCCTTGAGAAATGGGAATTAATGAACAGAAATTCAGGTATTATTCTTATTACTTAGTTCAGTATGCATGAAGCTTTATTCTAAATAATGGGCTATTATTTTCTCTTTTGACCATCTCATTAGTCTAAAAGTGCCATCATTTCCAGCTTAAAAATGTCAAACATGCAAGTAGGAGTGATTACGGGGGTCATAGTTATGAGTTAATAGCAGAGTTAATAACATTTGAACATATGTCTGACTCCAGAATCTGAGTTCATTTTCACCATACCCAGGTAGAAAAAGAGAGCTGAAGCTTGGGGTCCTCACAACTCCTTGGAGAACCCTGTTCTAGTGCGTGAGTTTGGGGAGTCTCAGGCTCTGGGCCTTACCTGTTTAGCACGGTGACCTGGAAGCTGGCTGGGTCGCTGGAGCATGCCCCAGTGGTGACAGTTGGGAGACCAGTCTTGGGATCAGTTGTGATTCTGACCTCAGACAGGATATCCAAGGAGATCTGCACTTTGACAACATCTGCAACACCAGGCCTGCAGGAAGTAAAACTGACCATTAAAAGAGGTCGAAAAGGCCCATTCTATGGACACCAGGTTTAAGTTCTGTAAGCCTGGCTATTGTTTAAGATGTCATTAGATAATATCAACATTGTTCAAGAAATGTCAACATTGTCTGTATTTTTTCATGTGAGTTAACATTTTTATGCTAGGGATTCTTCTCCTGGCTCCTTGGGTTTAGTTCATATGAAATTGTTAGACAGTGTGACAAAATTAATTAAAATCATAATAATACCCACTGAATCCACTGCTACCAAGTTGATTCTGGCTCATTGTGGTCCTTCTTTGGGTTTCTGGCATTGTAAATCTTTATGGAGAACACTGCCAAGTTTTTCCCCCAAGGAGCAGCTGGTGGATTTGAACTGCTGACCATTCAGTTAGTAGTCCAACATATAATGTGCTAAACCTCCACAGCTATGCTGACTTTTCTACTTAGCAGCCAGTCACTTAACAACTTTACCACCGGGGATCTTATATTACACTCTATGACATCTTCGAAAAGTATTTCATATAGATGACTTCATCTGACCACGGCAATGTCAGGAGGAGATACTGTTGTATCTCTTGTTTAATGAACGAGGAGTCTTGCTTAAGATCAAAAAAGAGATTAAATAACTTTCCCAAGATTTGACAACTAATAATGACTTATGAAAGCATCAGTATATTTTAGTTTCAAAATTCTTTAGGGCTGGCTCATTTTCCTGTCTTTAATGTTTTTAAAGTAATTCTAAATCTTTGCAGTGATCTTTTGCATACAGGCCTAGGTCGTGACAAAAGGCCCATTGGATATGAACTGCCTCCCTCCAGCCGTAGATTCTCAGACATACTCACAGATTCAAGGCAGCATCAATGACAACGGGGAGCCTCAAGGAAAGGCCTTTGCCATCAGCAGTCAGGTCAGTTTTGAGATCCTTGATGTTAGAGCCGATGATTTGCAACCTGCACAAAACCCAAAATTCACACTTGTCATTCTTCAGGAGAGTCCTGTGCTTCCCTTCACAGGCAATGTGCTTAGTGTTCAAGCTCCATCTCTCTTACTTCCCTTGGTCTTCCTGATAGCTCTACTGAGAGGGTTGAGTCTCTATTTTATGTTCTGCCTGAGGCCTAAACGGATGAGGCCTCAAGATCCCAGGAGGAATAAGTGTCAAAGCCAACACATGACTCAAAAGTGCCTTGCTCCAAACTCCACTATGCAGAGCTACTTAGTGTAAATTCCCTCTGCCCCTGATGAGATTTGAACTTCTATTCCATGCTTTCTTTGGACAAGGAGAAGTTTTATTCCTTGCAAAAGGGGCTTCAGAAACCAAAAAGCAGATGGAGAGAAGGGTGAACTCCATATGTGAGGAACAGATTGTCCACCTTTCTGTCCAAAACCTATCTCCTCAAAGATACAGATTCCCTTTTCTTGGGATAAAGATCTCCACCATAAAGTATCAACTTACCCCACAGAGACACTTGGAAGCAAGTTAGAAAGGGTCTTGTCCAGCAACTTCTCAACTTTTGGGAACAGGACAGTTTTAAGGTTTAGGAGACCTGTTAAAAAAAAAAAAAGCAACGGCCATTTGGTGTCATCTACAATAACAAAAAGCACTTATGAAGCATTATCTATGTCCTAGGCCCCAGATAAGACTGTATACCCAAGAAATTTTATTCAATAAAGCCAGTGGGGTAGGTACTGTTATTATCCAAATATTAAAGATGAAGAAATAAAGCATGCAAAAGTTGACATATATCCAAAGTCACAAAACTGGGGAGCTCTTCCTTCTGTTAAGTTGCTTCCACAAATGATATGCTAATAATTTATCAGGCAATTAATGTTGATTGTGCTCCTGCTTCTAGAAATGACTTAGGGGTTTATTGGCCCAAATGGAATTTATAGACATGGTTAAAAATTGTATCAAACAAAAGGAGGGGGAAAGTTAACAAACGGGAAAATTTCAGCATGAAGAGAAAATCTTATTAAAGCAGCAAAGGGGAGTCTTGGAATTAAGAACTAGTATTCATACAGGAGTTGACGGACACAGCGTTCCTAACAGGAAGTCTCCAGAGAAAAGGAAGGTGCTATTATTGATGTAGGCTAACACATACAAAAAGAATTAGAATATGAGTGTAACAACAGTGTAACTGAGAAACAACAAAATAATTGCTAACTCAAGAGAACACAAGACTGTGTACAAGCAAATGAAGTCAATGGTAGTTCTGTAAATTGGAAGCAGGAGTGGCACCTACTTCCTAAACAACATGTCTCTGGAAACTCTATCAACTTTGACAAATGTTGATAGTTGTAGAGAGGCTTCAGGCTTTTTGTTCATAGGGTCTCTATGAGTCGTGCTCCACTTGAAGGCAATCAACAACAACAACAACAACTACAACAACAACTGTAACGTAGCTCTGTGATAGACACTATCAACCTAGTTAAAATGATGCAAACAAGCAATACCAATTTAAATGAAACTAGTGGCTTGACGAGTTATAAAAACAGATATAATTAGAATAATGTTACTAAGTACTGTTAAAGTGGGACTGACCCTCATAAGTTGACCCCCTTGAGGAGGCTTTCAGGGGCAGCAAATCTCACTGGAAGAGACTGCCCATCTTTCTTCTACAGAGCAGATGGAGGATTCGAACAGCCTATCTTTGGGTTGGAAGCACAACTCCTTACTCACTAGGCCACCAGGGCTCCCTGAGTGTAACACAGGAAATGTCAACATCTACTATAATTGGAACTTTGTATGTCTGTTGAATTTTTAAACTCAACTTGAATTTTGAACTCAACTTGCAGGGATTGATCCTATGTATATATCAGCAAAAGTTTACCAGGACAATAAACTTCCCTAAATCTCCAAACTTGTTCCCATCTGTTTGATTCTGACTCAACACAGTTCTACAGCATAGAGTTGAACTGTCTCAAAGAACCCCAGGACTGTCTGTGATCTTTATGGAGCAGATTCCCACAAAGCAACTGGTCCATTCAAACTATCAGGCTTTCCGTTAACGGCTGAATACTTGATCACAGTGCTACCAGTTCTCCCTCTTTACCAGGAGACAGTATCTAAGAAGATATTTACAGCAGCACTGCTTGTTTTTGAAAACTTATATGTGAAGGAGCCAGGAACTGAATAGCCACCCTTCTCTGTAAATCACCTGTAAAGTCCAACTCCTGATGGTAGCTACAGGTAATACAGACATAATGGTCAGGAGAAAACCTCCTGGATACCAGTCAGTATCACTCTTATTGACTCACCGTGAAGTGTATTTTCCACAGTATTGACTGTGCCACCAATAACTTTGCCAAGAGTAGATGTCAAACCGCCCAAGAGGCCCAGGTTAAGAGATGGTTTCAACAGTCCCAAGATACCCTGGCCACCATTAGATTTCACGGTGTTCAAAGCACTCAGGCCACCAGTAGATTGCACGGTGTTCAAAGCACTCAGGTCAGCAGCAGATTGCACAGTGTCTAAGACACCCAGGTCAGTTGCAGGTTTCACATTGCCCAAGACATCCAGATTAAGGTCGACATTCCCAAGAAGGGCTGTGGAGGTCCCAGTGAGCAGACCGCACAAGAGAACAAGCTTCCAAAGCTGGAACATCTTTTTGCCTAATACCAGGACAGTCATAGGAAGATTTGAGAGATAATTATTTAGAAGGAAAAGGAATGTCCAGTAAGCAACAGTCACTCTTGTCTTTAAACTGCCTTTGAGTTTGATATGGTTTTCTCCTAACCTACTGATGGGTCTCCACAGCAAGAAAGCTATAGCAACTTTCCTGGAAGATTCACAGTCAATTAGAGGTGTGAAAAGCTAAGAGCTGAAAAATTAGCCTTGACTTTGATTTTTTTTAATACAAAAGTCATTTGTTCACTTATACTATTTTCTCTGCCTAAGTCACTTTTCTTCTTCTTCATTCTTAGCATAAGCCAATGTACCTAAATGAATTTAATTCCTATTGGTATTCCAGACTTAATGAAGACATTATGCCTTATGTGAGGCTTATTCTAGGCCCATCTAGAGAGTGTAGATTAGGGGCTCCTGCCCCATCACCTCACTTTCCTTTCTTCTCTGAGTCTCGTGTTCCAATCTCCTGATGCTTAGTAAGAGTCTCTCACCAGACTATGAACACCTCAGTGGTGAAATTATGAATTATTTGCTGGATCTCCAGCCCCCTAGTAGAAACCTACAAAGAGCTCAATAATAATTCGTTGAATAAAAGAACGAACAAGCCAATGTACCCTATATCATGATCTTATGATACTCTCTAGTTCAACAATTCTCTTAATATAATCTATATATCTCTTGATGTGTTATATTCAAAATAACACCTAATGCAAGGCGCCCCCCTCTCTCTATCACTTGCCCTTCAACGCACAGGATGTTACTAGAAGGCAAACCCATACTCACAGGTTTGGAGGAGGATGCTCAAGGAATCCTTGTTCTCCTGCTCGATCTCCTGAGATTCTGCTGGGTGGTGGTGGCTTTTATACGGTGGCGATGGGATGGGAGGGTGCCCACAAAAGCAAGTCTCGATTCCGGTGACATCTAAGGAACCTCCAAAAAAAATAACCCCTGTCCAGGAGGAGCAGGGAAACACCCAGCCCCAAAGGTCACCCAGAATGCTTGAATTAGAATGGATGGATATGAGGAAGACTTTCTGCCAAAACTAAAACAAGGTTTTCAAGGGGCCTCCAGCTGCCAAAGACATGCTGTTGTATCTGGGGGCCTAGGAGGAGGATGGAGAAGGGACCTATTGGAGAACATCCAGGGCAAAGATCCATAGAAATCAGTGAGTCTGAATGTCATTTGGAAACCATAGCTCAGAAAAGGAGAGAATTCTGTTTGAGGACACCTGGTAAGACAGGGTCAAAGATGGGGCTCAGTGAGAGTCAAGCTTAAGCACTGGGAAGTCATTCTACCCAACTCTATCTGGTATCTACAGAACAATCTTTACAGCATCTGTCATGGGGCTGAGCCAGATTATGTTCAAATTTTGCAGTGGAAGAGCTCAGTCTAGTTGGCGGAAAGTTCTGAGCGTGAACAAATCCTATTTCCATGTTACTTAACATTTATGGGCAATGGTGGGGTGTAGAGAGGTTAAGTGCCTTGTCCGAGGCGACACAGTCAGTGTCGGAAGATACAACACCAGCAGTTCCCTGGTTCTGCTCTCTTTTTGCTACTGCATGCTCACGTCCAGGCCATTCCCAATGCACCTGCCATCTTTCCTCGATGCCTCTTCAAACTCATCCTTATATTTCTCTTCGTTTCATGCAGACCTATGCAGGTCTCCAAGTCCTTGGCCTGCCCTCCACATGCTCAGGGTATCTGTAGGGTATAACACAAGGCCAACCACTGCCTACGAAGGTGGTGAGCTCTACAGGACCAGACATGATCAGAAATGAGGTGAAATAATCACTAGAATCCTGAGAGGTTTAATGTGATAGTGACCTGTGATACTAAATTCCCACAAGTCTATATTGTCCAAGGCAGGTCCTAGGTGGCAGAAATGATTTATGTCCAAATAATAAAGAGGTCTGCACCCTGTTGGATTATCTTCTTTTAGAATGGGCACAAACATAGATCTCTTCTGGTCAGCTGGCCAGGAAGCTGCCTCCCAAATTTCTTGACATAGACTAATGAATATGTCCAGGGCTGCATCGGTTTGTGGTAACACTCAGTTGGTATTTCATTAATTCCTAAGACCCTCTTTTTTCCAATGCCTTCAGTGCAGCTTGAGTTTCTCCTTTACCATTGGATCTTGATCATATACTACTTCCTGCAACATCTCAGTCTCGACCTTCAGACCATAGGAGATGGATTGATACAGTGACTCTAACAGTGATCTTGAACATGGCAAAGATCATGATGAGAACACAGAATAGGGCAAGGTTCTGGTATGTTGTTCAGTCTAGTTTCCAAGTTGGAGTGGACTCGATGACACTTAAGAACGATACTAACGAGTTCTGGTGGTATAATGCATGCTGTGTTGCACTGATAACTGTAAGGTCAGTGGTTCAAATGCACTAGCTGTTACTCAGGGGAAAGATAGGAAGTTTATTCCTTCAAAGATTTGGGGCCTTAGAAACCTAATGGAGGGTCACTAAGACTTGGAGCTGACTAGATGGCAGTCAGTTTGGTTATGGTTCCTTCCTAAAGGTTGGTGGTTTGAAACCACTCAGTAGTGCAACTTAAGAAGGACATAGAAAAACTATGGTATATGCATACAATGGAATATTACGCAGCACCAAAAAACCAATGATTTAATAAAACATTACACAACATGGGTGACCCTGAAGGACATTATGCTGAGTGAAATATCTCAGTCACAAAAAAGACAAATACTGCATAGTAATAAAGTAGGTTGGACATGGGGTTTTGGAGGAGAATAGGATAAGAATAGATAATGAACATTGCATTGGAACAGGTGAAGGAAAGAATTGTTTAAAAGGAATATATGACTAGGCATTAGACATACAATAATAGCCCAGGATAAGAGGTACATTGCAAAGAGAACTGGAGGGAGGAGAAAGATAATTGTGCAACAGTGAATGAATATGGAAAAAAAAAGTGAACTGGGGGAGGGGGAAGGAAAGGAGAGGTAAAATGTGCAACAATGAATGAATGAAAATCTAATTTTTCTATAAACTTTATTTAAAATCACAATTAAAATAAAAAAATTTTAAATAAAAGGAAGAATTTGCTTCTTTGAAGGTGATAGCCACGAAAACTATAGGGAGCAATGCTACTCTGCAGTATGTGAGGGTATCAGGAGAAAAAAAAATCAGTGCAATAGCTAAGGGTTTGGTTACTGGTTGAAGAATGTTGTTGAACATTTCCTGTGATTCTTCCGGTTAGGTTTCCTTTCCACATTATTCTAGCCAACACACATGGATAGCTGTCCTTCTGCTTTCTCTTCTCTTTCCTTTTTTCAACCTGCACATGCCCAGGACTCCAGCTTAGCCCTGGCATGGTCCCTTGGAGCTACAGTGGCTGGGACTGGGGTCTGTATTTCAGCACAGTCGTGCTCAGGACAGGCTAGCCTTCCCCTGTGGTGCTGGCTGCCCTTCACAGCTGAGCTGTGGCATGACGTTGAGCTCGAAGCTCTCAGGCCTCAGAAGGCATCAACCTCATCCTCTTACACAGAGCTCAGTGTCTAGTTTCTAGGGAGCCATTATTCAATGTCAGCCACTCCTCCACTGTCTCACCATTCCCAGGCCACATGAAGACAGAAAGTTGTTTTCTTCAAGCCCTCTCCTAAATTTATTGGGGATCCCAAGGAGTTATGCAGCCAACCCGAAGGCACATGATTCAAATCCACCAGCAGCTCCACAGGAGAAAGATGGACGATCTCCTCCTGTGTGATTTACAGCCTCTGAAAACTCACTGGAGGGTCAGCTATGAGTCAGTTCCAAAACACTGATACAGGACAACAGTTCTGTCTGGTCTGTTGTTGTTGTTATGTGTTGTCAAATCAGAACCAACCCATAGCTGACCCTCCAGCTGGTTTTCAAAAGCTATAGACAGCATAGGAAGTGGTTGCCCATCTTTCTCCTGCTGGTAACCTTGAACCCTGTGCCTTTGGGGTGGCAACACAAATCCTTGCCTCTAGGCACCAGAGCTCCAAGTGCAATTTAGTCTACCATAGGTTAAATCTTACAAAGTGGGGAGAACTATGACCTCCTTCTTCTTGAGGTCTTCTGAATCTTGATAGTGTGCATGTAACTCTCACACAAGCATACAGTATATATTTACACATATGTGTTTCTATATGCATGCAGGTACATATACCTGTGTGTGAGCATGTGCGCGCGCGCACACACACACACACACACACACACACACACACACACACACGAATAAGAGTATAGTTTGTGATGAACTAGATCTATATGAAGAAAACATTTCCCTGCCTGTAGAGAGAACTTCTTATTGAATTATGGATACCATGTTAGCCTCCCCCTGTTCTGAATGAATGAGATCTTGTACTCGGAGTTACATCAAATAAGAGGATAGGGATCTCCCTGGCTTCCTGGGTCTTGTCCTCAGTCCTCAGATACTTTAGATACAATTAACTGTATCTGCCAAAATCAATCGGGAAATTACACCAATCCTAAAAAAATGAGGATCCTGAAGTCATATGCTCTTGGGACTTTTTAGTTAAAATGTCATCTCTCCTTCTCCTTCTTCTTTTTTTTTTCTATTATGTGGTTAAGGTAAGCTACTGCCTAAAACGTCGGCCCTAAAATCTCAGCAGTTCATGCTTAATACCTCTGTAGACTCCTCTCACAAACTCACACAACCCCACAAACACAAGACACAACCACATTTGAAATCCCGCATACATTAAGGCCAACAGGGAACAGAGGGTTCATCCAATCAGTCTCCTTGCTGAGGACATGAGGACAGGCCTATTTCCCAGAGATAAAAAAGGATTCACCCAAAACCACACTGTAACCTCAAACCCTCCTTACATGGATATCTTTTCGTTTTGTTGGATTTTTCTACTCTAAGCTATTGGCTCAGTGTTGACTTGTCGCGACCCTGTAGAACAGAGCAGAACTGCCCCACGGAGCTTTCAAAGCTCTAAATCTATGCAGAAG